TTTTTTTTGTGAGAGATGAATTAATGCATATTCATATTTATTCTAGAACTACAGTAACATCTTCTGATTTCTCTCAACATGGGGACAGGAGAGCTGTCAATCAATAAATTGGAAGAAAAAAAAGTAACTTGCGTTACTTGTTTGAAAAAGTAACTGAGATATTCTCTTGTAAATTAAAAAGTAATGCGTTACTTTACTAGTTACTTGAAAAAAAGTAATCTGATTACGTAACTCACGTTACTTGTAATGCGTTACCCCCAACACTGTCACAAACATTAATAATATAAATTTTTTTCTTTTCATTTCTCTGTAGAGGACTTTAAGCCTTGTTAAAGAAAATCTGGTAACACTTTACAATAAGGTCTCATTTCTTAAACTTAATTAACGCATTAACTAAAATGAAATAATGAACAATTTCTTTTCGCAGCATTTATTAATTTCTGTTAATGTTAATAAAAATGTTCATGTTAGTTCACAGTGCATTAACTAACAGTACAACTTTTGCTTTAATAATGTATTAGTAAATGGTGAACTAAACCTTAACTAAGACTGATAAATGCTGTATAAGTGTCGTTCATGTAGTTAAATATGTTAACGAATGCAAACTTATTGTAAGGTGTTACCGAAAATCCTCTGATTTGAAGGCTAACTGATTTTTTTTTCTTTCTGAGATGTTAATTTACTAACATTTTTTTATGAGAAAAAAAAATGTAATAGATAATTGGAAAATTTCTATTCCCATATACTGTATGTTTTATTGTGGTGTCTATGGCCAAACCCACAAATGTTTGGTATCAAGAGCCCAGGATGTGGAATGTATGGTCTCACAAAAAAGCAAATGCTAGAAGACAAAATCAATTTGCATCACAGTAAGCAGTCATAAAGTCAGCAAAGTACATCATAAAGCTTGTAAAATGCATTGCATTTCTTCGATTTTGTGAGGAGGACAGATAACGTGAGATTTCTCTCATTCTGGAGTGTAATTATAAATGTAACCTCTCAGGAAGAGCTTTTCAGACTGTTTCTTTGGCTTTGAACAGTTTGGTTGCTCACAGTGAAAGAGGTGGTGACAAGCCGTTAAAATACTTCCAGCTGCACTGTTCAGCACAGTTAGAGATTTCTTTTCACACTGGGCTTTGCATGCCCTCATTTTGTTCTTATGTTTGCCCCATAATGAACGATGAAGCAAAAAGGTTTGTGATTATATGCAACATCTTACAACACCACATCCATTTCTGTCTGCACGCCATCGCTCAGGATGAAACAGGCAGACTTTATAGATGCAGAGTTTTATCCATTATTTCACCTGTACTTTATAATAAATACTTAAAATGTCATTATAATGATAAATCTATGACTTAATGCATTGTACAGCCATAATCATTGATTTTAAAGGGGCAAAACTCAAGTTTGCAAACTCAACTAAAAGGCTGAATATCTGATATAATAATTTGCCGTTCATTTACTTTTCATGACTCTTTTAACTTATGCACAATGGAAAAAACAAACTCCCAGAAACAAGAACGCTTCAAATAAATAAATGGCTGTTAAACCATTCAATCTTTCCAGTGTTTTGGTCTGAAAATGACAAATGTGTCTGGTGCCCTGCAATAAACCTCGACAAACCCTTTGCAACCTCTCTGGACTGAAAACTCTCTCTCATTCTCAAGGTTTTTATTTATTTATTAATTTTTTTAGGATTGAGTGCTCATCTAAACTAAACTAAAAGACAGTGTGAGCAATGTTTTTTTTGGACCCTCACCAACCTCCCACTTTTTCATATCGCTGGCTCCAACTAAATAACCATTTTGACCGATTTAGTCATGGATGTCCATAGGCCATGAAAACCTCTGTTAACCGCCTCATCTGTGCCAAGATTCATCAATGTTTGGCTTCATCTCTCTTCTCTTGTGTGCATGGTTTACATCAGCGGCTTGCTTTTTGACTGCTCCAGTCTCTCAGAAATATCCGGTCTGTCTGTTGCATTTGCATATAGAGACCAATCATGCAAAACGGTTGATGAATAAAGCTAAATGAACTATATTTGCATTTCCTGAATTAAATGCTTGCAAGGCAATAAAAGTGATTTGTAATTCAGAGCTGCCTTAAACTCTGCTGTTGCCATGTCATGCTTGTTTTCTGTCAGTAGTTCAGAGAATCCGCACATAATTCAGCAGCTTGTATGTAAAGAGATGCAAGAAGAAAAAAAAGCGATGATAATTCAATATGCAAATATTACGATGCCATCATTCTTCTCATTTAGTTTAAACAATGTACTGTATGTCAGTGGAAGATATAACTGCAGTCTCTTTTTATTTGGAAATTCATTTAAATTGAATTGAAAAATATAAATTGTTATTATACTTTTAAAATTTAATTTCAGTATTTTGCTTAGTGAGGAACAACAAACAAACTAAGTGTAAGAAAGTTCTATAGTTTTGTAAGAAAGGTTTTATTATTTTCTCTTTCTTCGTCACTATAATTCCCATGTTATTTCAAAGTTTTTACTTTTTTTTTTTTTAATGGAGAACATTCAGCAGTATAAGTCATTGAGAGATTTCAAACTGAAAAAGTATACAAATGTATAAATACCAAAAACAGATATCGCATCAAATTCTGATTTTTTAAAAATTAAATAAAATTTAAAGAAATGCTTGACATAAGTTTTAGAAAAAATATAAATTGTGGCTATACTTTTAAATGTATAGTGCAAAAGCCAACAAAGAATAAAAATGTTATACTGTTGTAAGAAATGTTTTATTGTTTAGTCTATCCTTTTTCACTACATAATTCCCATGTTTCCATTTTATTTTAAAGTGTTGAGTTGAATGGAGAACATTCAACAATATAAGTCGCAAAGGGAGATTTGAAAAAAAATAAATAAAAAAAAATACAAAAAAGTATAAATGCCAAAAGTAGATCAAGAAAAATAGATTTTTAAAGAAAAAATAAAATAAAATAATAAAACAAAACAAAATAAAATAAAATAAAAATTTCACATAGGTCTCATTTGTGGACTGAAGCCTGGACATCCAGAAGTGGTAAACTACACAATATCCAGACATATAAAATAGATAATCAATCATTAGGAATGAGACATCTGGACTCTTAATGAGCGAGTGCTACACCAAACCACTGGAATGTTGACCACAAGGAGGGACGACCAGGAATGAGTGACAGCCCTTCACCAGAAGCACGTTCTGTCTACAAAAATCCACCACAATCATCCAGCATTTATCTTCAGAAATCATCTTCAAAACCATACACTTCTCAATTCACATTTCTGAGCAATTCTTTCCTCCAACGCAGCAAAGGTCATAATTTATTGCAATTTTGCTGTCAGAATCACGGTTTATTCACCCTCAGTGAGATGAAAAGCAGGTTTACTGTGTCAAAGGACATGTTGGATCATGGTTTGAAGTTATGAAGTTTGACATGATCTATAAGACGGCGGTTTGCTTTGTAAAAAAACGTGATATGAACACTAATCCCTCAAGATAAAAGCTGAAGCGCTAAGCACAAAAGATATGAATAGACAAATAAATCAAACCATAACCAAAATTAAGTGTATTCATGTGAATTTTTTAATATAGAGAAGGTAATTGTGCCAAGGACCCTTGTGCTTTTAATACAAAAGTCTCAATGCGGCAAGTTTTTGGATATGATAAAACAATGGATTGCTTATTAATATTATATTTTTTTGTGGAATGCAAACTTGAATGCAAACTCTTTTTGGCTAATGGATCAGCCACTCTGTTCAATAACATTTAGCTCTTCTATGTTTTCTCTTGAAAGTCAACTAAAAGTTCGGTAAATGATCATTATCATCCCCATTAGAGGTTTGTAGTCTGTGGACGTGGCTATATAACAGCTGTTTCTGCATCTTGTGGGACATAGTCAAAGAAGAGGCCAAGACGTTACTCCCTCCTGGTTTGTTTATCCATACGGTGACTAAAGGAGAGTGTGACTGGTCATAGGCCGTTGTTTTCTGTCCTCACCGTTATCAATCACTTCAAGGGCTCCTGAGCAGGAAGGCCATTTTCCCATCATCACTCCTTCAGCAAGACCATTACACTCCACATTAATGCAGGGAATG